CCGGGAAATGAACACCATACAGCGACAGATACCAGGTGTTACCCCAGAAATCGCCGCTCTCCACAGCCAAAGTTGCTCGGATCTCCCGAACCTGGCCCTCAGGCAATTGGACTTCCTCACCACCGCCCTCCCGGAGATCAAGGTAGAAAGTGCCACTATCCCCCGTAACATTGTGACTGAACTCATGCGTGAAGTATTCGTTCTCCAGTGCAATTGCAGTCGTGTTCAACAGGGCATGTTGTTTGTTCTGTTTGTGGCGTACCCATTCCCCGCGCAGCTTACCGGTCGCATTACGATAGACTGGGAGGAGTAATTGGGTCAAGTTAAGACCGGAGAAAGCGTCAGGCACGGCAAGGGCCTTGGGAGGCCTCAAGCCCGCTTCAGCCATGGTGGACCGCAGCTGAAACCGAGCTCTATCCTGAACATCTGGAAGAAGATCCCAAGCATAGCTATCGTTCTTCCTGACACCCGAAAATGGGAGCCATCGGTCGGTTCCCGGATCGAAGTCGCCATACTTAGACTCATTCAACATGTGAAGCGCGTTCCGCTCCCTCACAAGCTCTCTTTGGTGCTCTTCATCCTGAGAGACCAGAGGTGAATGCGACTGCGAGCTCAGAAGCAGGTAGAAAACTACCAGAAAGAAGAAAAAAGAACCGCGGTGATCCATAGGTGGCCACAAATCGCGGGCATCGAACGGAGGAGGGTTGCTCCTGAGGCCCAACTTCTGGTGTGCTACGCAGAGACGGGCAGCCCTCGCGAGATCCTCGACTGTTGTAAGAGCGCAAGGACCAAGCAGTAGCAGTACGACGTCACTATCGGAGCAGCACGTGATGCAGCGACCGGGAGGGGCCACGGGACAGTCGGAAGGGTCGATGACACATGGATCCAAGCAGAGGTTGGCTGGTACCAGAGAATTGAAGGGGCTAGACCTCGTGCTGTCAAGATATTGCAAGTGCAAGATGCATCGAAGCTGCGAACTCCCTTGTACAACAACCAGGTGGTATCTTATCGGGAATGAAGGCTAGATAGATAGTAGACTTAAGGGGGGGCCGACGGGCGGGAGCGAGAAAGCACCGGCGCACGTGAGGCTGCCGACTAGCCCCAATCCAAGACGGATCCGGGGCAATAGATGATCCGATAGATCGGTACTAGTATACTACTATTACTACTAAAGTATAAGTACTTGTATAATAATTATGAGGCCATATCGTCTTCGGGTTATTCACCGGCCAGGTGAAATCTGCCCTACGCCGAACATGACGAAACCTTGAATATGCTCAAGTCGACACTAGGGTCAGACAGTGAGGACTGTCTATATTCACTGCTAGCACAACTGTATAGCGGGCTCGATTAGCCGGAAAGCCAGAAAGTACCGTCCGGATTGACTATAGGATCAATTTGAATTTTATTCTTTATACAATCATGAAAGACAACAACGCATGACAGGAGGCTACATATCAACCCGCTGTTTGAAGAGACTCTTGCCCCTCAGCCATTGTCGATAGCGCTTATAACGTTTCTTCTCATAATCCTCGGCCACCACAGTCAGGCCTCCCTCCGAGACATTCAAAAACTCAGCATAATCCGCAAGGTTCTCCTCGGCATTAGCTTCCAGAGTGGCCTCCTCTACGTTGCACTTATTTGCATATTCCAGTAAATCCAGACTGGATTCATGCTCACGAATGGAAGTGGCAGTCAACTCGTCTTCAGAGGTCACAACAAGTGGAACCTTCAAAGGATGGTTAATGTAGCGTTCGTATTCTTCTCCTTCTGCAGCGGTCACAGACGGGTTTAGCGAGTCGGTCACCAGCTGGCCAAGAGTCCACTGCGCAATTTGCGTTTTGCTCGGAGTGGTGACCGTCGACTCCTGAGAAGAGTGCATGGAACTGAAGGAGTGAGGCAGTCCGAATGATGTAGATTTCATAATACCTGCAGACGGTGGTAATTTATCAGCGGAAGGCGGCTGATGAATCCAGTTGTAGTTGGACTGGGATGTTGCGCTACCGAGTTGTGGGCGGCCCGCTGGATCGATGGAGGTCTTAAGCGGTTCCTGGATCTTGACGCTACGTGGTGGGTGTCGTTCCCGGTTGATTTGATCGTGGGGGATCCGGGGAACAAACGGACTAATGTCGTAGGGGGCGCCGGAACCAGGCCGGAATGGAAGATAGCGGAGCGTTGAGTTCATTTTGTAAGAGAATATTTTCGAGAATGACGACACGGCTAATGGCCTATAGTACTCGAGCCAGTAATCATCGTAGTGAGAGAGAGGTTCCTTCGGAGGTCGCGGAGGTGGTGGCACTTCTTTTTCCTTCAGATTCTCCGGGGTGTACCAGCAAATGTAGTTGGGACGCCTCTTGTTGGACCAGGATCGCGGGTCAGCGTGGTGCAGGTAATAATCGGTCGACAGATCCCACAGCATCGGCTGTCCTTGGGAAAAAATGTAGTTCCCGAGGAACAGATTGTAGGCTTCCTGGCGCTGGGCATCGAGAAATGAATTGTTGTAGTACCGTTTGAAACTTTCCACCATATCGCGAGAATGACTACTCCACTGGTTGATCTTGCGGTATGTGGCCATAGTGTTTACCAGATGCGAGCCTCCGTACTGGATTGCAATGGTATCACCGTGGTCGTGCCACATATCAGTGAATAAGTTGACAGCATCGGTGTCGTACTCCACAGTCGTTCCATCAATAATTCCCAAAGCGTGAAGTTGGTATCCCAAGGCGCGCTTTCCAATAACGAATTGAGCAGCATTTGTACGGTCTAAACAATCGATGCAGTTCGTCCTGGCGATGCCATTTTGCAGACGCAAGCCAGATTCTGCATCATAACCGTTCTTGAAGAAGCCGGTCTTTGGAACAATCTCGCCCGCGATATGCTCTAATGTTCCAATGACGTCTTGGTCTCTGCTTTTTGCAGCACGGCTCATGTCCCAGGGCTGATAGATAATCTTCTTATCCTCGGGCAGGAACTGGTTTAGATACTGGATGGCGTTCGTGTACTCCTTGAGCAACTTGGACTCCCGTGGGGTTCGTTCTCGCGATTTTATCAGGTTGAGCACATAAACTGGTGCGCCGTATCTCTCAAAAAGGTTGTCAAAGTGTAGTGCAGCAGCGGAGTAGAAGGGGTCGACCAAGTTTAGTTCAATATCAGGTTTGGGAGACACCCCTGAGTTTTCCTGTGTCCAGTAGAGCGGAATACTCCCACGGTGTTGTACGTAAGAGGTGTACAGCGGGTTAGCATAGAGATTTGGACCGGGAGAATGAAATGACGTGGCTGTCATCTCGGACACTATCTGCTCCGTTTCAACATCGTTTGCTACATAGCCTAGATCGTTCGCGCCTCTCTTCAGGAATCGGGCCCCTGCGAAGAACCGAGAGCGTCGCGCAATGATCGTAATGTAAACTAACCGCCCGTACACTGACATCTTTGCCTGTTCAACATATCCATGAATGATTGGTAAACACCATTCCCAAGGATTTTTCAAAGTTTCGAGGGCCGGCCCGAGAAGATGGTGATTCCAAATGAACATCGTATTGTAGTCTTGCTGAAGGTGTTTCGGGTGTCCGTCCTGGTTGGCGGTGCGTTCCCGACAAATGTTGTGCTGCAAAGTGTGGGTGATATCGTAAGAATAGCTGAAGTAGAAGGATCGGGTTAGATCCAAATTATTTAAGATGGCAATATACCTCGCCTCCTCCGGGTTCTTCTCCGGGCGGAGACGAGACGAGCTTGAAGTCGTCAACGAGATGAGCTCCGTTCCATCGATCTGATAGACATAGTGACCTCCGAGCATAGCAACCTGGCTTCTCTTGGTCACCAGAAGCATGTAGTAAGCATCCGTAAATCGTATAAACCCTAGTAAAGCCCATGCACTGCACTTCAGCTTCAACCCACCCGACCGTTTATTTCCATCATCGATCGTATCCAACAACTGGCTCATCTCCCGCTTGCTGTAAACAATATCATCCTCTGAAATGCTGAGGTCCCCGGATTCCGACGTTCGATCGATCTTGAGAATCCTAAATCGGGTATCCGACAAGTCCATTCCCACCATGTAGAATCGGGTGGCTGTCTCGTACAAGGAGAACTTGTGCATGCGATTGATCCCTTCCTCTCCTCCGGTGTCGAAGAAGGCCGAGCGTTGCTTTTGCGCCGAGGTGGGCGTAGAATCCCGCTCAAAGGATGTTGCAACCTGGGGCTCTTCATCTCCTGCCTCCACCCCATCTTCACTCAGGGCAGGTACTGCTGGGGATGCGTAATGTAATGGGGTGAATGGGGAGGCTGCGCGAGGTGATCGGAGGCCATCTTCGTGATCGATAAAGCTTCGAGGGGCCGAGTCAGGCTGCTCTTCTGGGAACTTGGTGCTGGAGCCGGAGGTAAACGAGGCATCGGCGTAAGGAAGGTGGAGATCTGAGGTGGAGTTTGGCGAACTGGTATCTATCAAGGACACCGCTCTGGAAGACTGGTCGTCCAGTGGACCGAGGCTTTTGTCTTCCGCGGAGAGGGACACTTCATCCAGACTCTCCATAATGAAGGCAGAGGCTGGTGAAATCCCGCACCAGCATCATATGTATTCTCGGTTGTTAGCGCGCAGCGCCTATGCGAAAAGATAATCGAAACGGCGACCAGAGTAGTAGTAAGTGACGTCGGACGCGGGTGAGTGGTGGGGGGGATCGACTTGCGACAAGGAGCTTCACGTGATCGCAATCACCCCAATGAGGCACCGATCAGATCTTGGGGTAGTTAACTAGATACCATCATCCAGTTCAGCCCAACGAAAAACCTCAGATAATGGGGATAGGATTATACAATGGCATCAAATGCCTACTACACTGAGAAACTTCCTCGGGTTTACGAGAATAAGATTTATGTTGGATGAAGACATTACTGATCACAAAAGTACTGATACGCACTCGGCAACATACAACAGTCTTGATCAGGCGGTTATTACCCCATGCATTGATACCTCCCGAAGAATAATGTGATCCAATTTGCAAGCTCCATATTATGCTTTGCCACTATCGTCTTGCCAACTAGTAACAGTAGATCTGAAGTGATCTTCGACCTAAATACATCCCGAACTCCACGACTGGATATAAGGGCAATCTCACTCCCCACGTTCCGCTTTCTCAATCTCTGCCAACGCCTTCTGTATCATCTCTTGCGTACTCACCCGGGAGAACAGAAGCTGTGCCGCCTTCAAGCCATCCTTCCAAAGATGCCACTTTTCCATTGTGAAGCGCGGTCGCGGAGGAGGATCATCAGCGTCTCCGAATGTTCGTTGGACCTGACAGTTCTCCCACATTCGCTGACCGGCATAGATATACCAGATACATGAAATACGCACGGCCTCTTCCACCAGCGGATCGCATTCCTCAAACGTTTCTCGACACGCCCACAGCGCATATAGTGATGCGTCAATGGCATGGCCGAGATGGTCTGCTTTCGCGGTCAGCTGCGCCATAAACGCATTGCGATTCTCCCACTCCTGGAGTTCGCGTGGAGGATACTCCATCCGGGGATCATCGTCGACCTGCTGGGCGTACTCTGTACGTGACGCCAATTGCAGGGTTAGCCGTGGAATCAACCGCCAATAAGAAAGAAGGAAGGAAGGAAGGAAAGAAAGAGAAGAAGTATATAAGTGAATAGGTGTAACGTACTGGGGTCGTATGTGAAAGAATACATATCCCTCAAGTAGACTCCGAGATAGGGGAGTTCAGTCCATAACTTCATGCCCATTGACGTTGGCTCTTGGCCCGTGTCAGGATCGACAATCTTGGTGCGTTGAAGATGGGCAATGAATTCGATAAGCTTGTGCTGCTGCGCAGCTGGAGTAAGATTAACAATTTTCACAACCGTGACCATGGCAATCCATGTGTGTGTGCCATCGATCTCAGTCGGGGGTTCCCCTCCCTCCTGGTGTAAGACCTCGCGCACCCGAAGCAGATTTTGGACTGCCTCGGTTGGTGAGACACCAGGATTGTGTACCAGCTCACTGATGACTTGGTATTCCGGTCGCGCAAGGAACACTTCGCCGAAGCCTTCCATCATGAAAAGGCGTTTCGAGGTTTCAGGAAAGCAAGGTCAACGACACCATTTGAGTGGTTTAAATAAAGGATGTTGGGGCAGGCTGGGCTGGCGGTCAGCACTAGCCGGGATACCTGATCAACTTAGCAGCCAACAAAACTCCTTCAGAAGCAAGGCCTGGTTTGGATGTAGTATACATCTATTTTAGGTGTTGATAGATTCGAAAGACAATATTACTGATAGTGCTACTAATAGTAGACCACTAATCCCAGGCCAAGGGAAATAGGTTCAAATACATATTCACTATATTTGGAACCAATAAAATAATCTACTGTTGTCACTAACACATATTTGCTACCCAAAATAAGGGAATATCCATCGGTACTAGTAGGTAATCAGTGCCAGTGAATATTGAGCAAGGATATTGTACACATGTGATCCATCAGTAACCACACCGTCTCATTAGGAGTCGCTTGCTGCTATTATGATCAATTTAATAACATACGCTAACATGATCACTCCTTCTACACTAATCGAGTACAACGGTCCTATAACGGAAAGCCATCAGTTAGGGGATAGCGATTCTGAATATCAGTGGCTATTAAATTTATTATGAAACTGAACAGTTCAGAGATGATCAAGACTAGGAAGGAATATACACGCCTGCTATGGTTTCTACATTATTATGACAGAGATAGAGGTACAGACACCGGACAGTATATTAGATTGGATCATACAACCTTGACCGACTAAAGTCTTCTGTGAAGAGAGACAGAAAGTCATAGAAGTAGAATTATTCAGGAGATATGATGAATACTCACGTTTGGAAGTGCGGAGGAGGACCTCGAAGGGCAGGTATCTTGTGCAGTACTAATGTTTAAAGATAAGGAGATTCGCAAGACGTAAGCAAAAGACAAACACATATATTATCTACTTCGCAGAGCGCGTATGAACATAATAACAGACTAAAGATACTTGACGAATATATTTTCCGTATATCCATATTTTCTTCAAAAGCTTCAAGGTCGCAGACTTCTGCCTTTGGATTATTTGGATGATGTTACATACTGAAGTTCATACGATCCTCACTGGCCTGCATGTAAAGGCCAGAGTCTCTACATCAGAGAATTTTGATAACAGCGATATTAGCTGGAAACGTTGCTAGGGACTTTATAAAAGAACTTCTGAACCTTATCACTGACATCAGGTCCAGTATCTCTTTAAAGGGAGTTCCTACGTGCGACAAGACGTAAGTCGCGGTATTATTATATGGGCCAGCGATGTGGGTGGAGATGAGTAGTGAAGTAGTTGAACTAGGGATTGCCGCAAGGTATGAGAACGATAAATCAAGAAAGAGAGTCGGATTTAATTTGCACCTAGTTAAAGGTCGCTCTGGCTCCTGGAGTTACTATTTCCGAGATTGTCCTCGGGCCTGTCTAGTCTGGTTCCCTGGTTAGGACAATGAGTTGCTTAAGAGCTTGGCTACCAACGCCAGGGCCTGCTGGGGGAATGTCTGGATTCAGGAAGCCTGCGCCTTCAGCTTCATGTGAGCCTTCATGTACTTTATGAGCTTCCGAAAGTGAGTTAGAATAGTAAAGTATATATACGTGACGATGAAGCAAAGTTGCTCATCTTGATGGCAGGCCCTTGTATTATGCCGAAAAGCATAGTTGGATGTGAGAGACCATGGCAGTGTTGTAGCAAACAAACGCAAAATGAATGCGATTTGTAGGCTTGCCCAAAGATGTACGGGTGTAGTGTCAACCCCTGCGCACAGAGGAGGGGGAAATGGTCAGAGGCGTAAGCCTTCCCGACCAACCGGATACCCCTGCACGAAGGGTCGTCTTCAATGAGCATTTCTGGATGGCGACGTAAGGCTTATGAGGTTGAAAGCGACTTCCAGTTTCAAATAATAAATCCCCGCTACCGAGGCGGGTGTCAAAGTCTACCCGGCGAGAGTCGTAAGGCTGACATTGGGTAAGGTCTGATCTCAGAGTCGCTTCGAAGTATGGTAACTCGCTGATGGGCCTATAAGGGAGCTGCAGCCTGCGTCTATCCTCGTCTCTTCGGGCGAGTTAATGAGCATGAGGAATCAAATTGATGGGGTATATCAATCTCAAGATAGAACAAAACAATGGATATACTGTCTAGAATCGAGCGGCCGGCGGTTTAGCTTCTTGCGTAGTACATGATGCCGCATTTCCCTGACGACAATAGCACGACGACCTGATTGGAACATCAGCCGTTGCAACTGTCTGTTTTAAGAAAGGCTTCACGATTTGAGCTTCAGCCGTTCGGCCCAGTCTGTTCAGGCATTCGTAGTATCCATGCAGCGCCCATACATTGTTCGGGTGCTGCCTCGCACGAGGCAGTGTGTCGTCAAATCCAAGATCAGCCTGGTATACCGCTGCTGCCTCCTGGACATGTCCCTGTTCTAGCAGGAGCGCACCGTACGCATGACGGGTCGGTTGCATCCACCCCCACGGCTCGTCATATGGTAACCCATCATCCAGCGTGATAGATCGCCGTAGATGGGTAAAGGCCACGTCATAGTTGCCACGGCGATACTCGAGCTCTCCATCCAGCATAGCGTCAGCCACAGCCAAGATGTCCAGACACTTGTTGGTAAATAACATTCGGCTGTAAGGTACACGCTTCACAGCCTCCTTAAACAGCGCGCTCTGTTGACTCGCTTCATCTATCCTCCCAAGCGCAGCCAACGCCACTCCCTTCCCGTACTGGATCATTGCAGTGGTGACACAATATAGCTGCGTGTCATGCGGGTATTCAAGGGCAAGAAGATCCTCCCAACGTCCAAAGCGAATCAGGACATGCACCTTCATGCTCACAAAGCCTTCCAGCCAGTCAGCCATAGGCGGGGATTCGATACGCAGGAGCTGCTCTGGAATAGATGACTCCAGACTCTTTACCGTGTCCAACGCAACTTGCGACTGCCCCGCAAACATCGCCGCATATACTCTGAAGTGATAATCATGCGATCGATATAATGTATAAAAGTTGACTGCGCCCTCACGGGCAAGGAACTTTTCATCTGCTCGAATTGCATCAGAGTTCGATGCAATCGCCCGTCGATAGTCACCACAGAGAATGTCCAAATGCGATGGCATGTGATTAAGATGGCCTGCATCAGGTACTAACCCCCGCAAATGGTCTGCTACCCTGAGTGCTGCTTCCGGCTCACTGGACATCTCCATTAAGTGGATGTATAGATGCAGGATTCCAGGGTGTCGTAGCGCCTCGTCCTGGGTCAGCGCCATATCTAAGACTTTCTTGATTTGCACAGTATGCGCATCAGCTGCAGGCTGACCAGTTCGTAAGTCCCAGAGGGCCCATGGAGTTAAGTTCATGAGAGCATCCGCATACAAAGCCACCACATCTAAATCATTGGGAAAGCGTAAGTAAACAGATTCCATGGCGTTAGCGTACTCCTTGTTCCAGCCGTTGAAGTCATCGGGCGCCACGTTCTGAGGGTATCGATGTTGCAGGGCTGCGATAAGCGCTGCTTCCACGGGTTGGGTGGTTGTGGCGTGCGTCTGGGCCTCTGCGACAGCTTCGTGGGTACGCTGCACGGCGACTTCGAGTTCTTGCTCGTCGAAGGACTGCCAAGTTTTGTTGTAGTTGGGACCCAAGGTGTATGCAAGACCCCAGTATGCCATCGCACAGGACGAGTCATGTGTGATGGCTTTTTGGAAACAGTTGGCCGCTGCTTCATGATTGAAGGCATATGTCCAGATGAGACCGCGGTCGAACCAGAGTTGAGCCTGAGGGCTGGAGGTGGTCACCGGTCGGCGGAAGGAACCGAAGTCGTAATAATCATCTGGTTCCTGGGCCGACATGATTGAGGAGGTGTGAAATTATTACAGCAAAGCAGAGCTAAGTAGAGATACGTAGGTGGCTTGCCGATGCTGTTCCTGAAGTTGAGGGGGGATGATCCCGTAGTAATATACCAATAGTAGATGGTGAGTAGTAGTAGATCGTTGATAGTGAGGATGTCCCCGCTATCGAACCAAGGTTCCCAGGCTGCAGGGAATAACAATAGTCCGAGGACGGTCACATAACTATACCAGGTCCGTTCCAATCGTCACAACCAGATTCCATCATTGACTGATGATCTTGGAAAAGGATGGTATTCGATGAAGTCGAGTAATTCGATACTTTCGACTGCTGAATGACGGGCGCGAAGCGTGCTTTTATTTACTTTCCTGAAACATCAGGGCCAAGTACCCAGGACGAAGACTGATAGCTTGTAGGCAACTGGCTGTGTGCCGGTGGCAAGGAGTAAAGGTAGAAACTGGCTGTTGTTACACTCATTTATATTCTATATCTTTTCTCTAGTGTTGTGTTTGGGTATGTTATCAACTTCGTATATGTACATAAAGGTTTGTATTCCGTCTGCTCAGTGATCCAATCGTCTTTAGCATCATAGTGTTGCTTCAATTGGCCAAGTAAACCCTGCATGGACAGCGTCTTATATAGCAAGAAGGCTCGATCAGGTCAAAGAGTTTGGCCTGAACTGAAATGCTTTCGAGCCATTTATGCCTTTTTTTTTCTCCTCGGTTGGAACACCGGTAAGGTACCGACTGCAGAGCAGATCCTTAACTGCTATATATCACGAGACCTCTGGCGTGGCCCGCAAGCTGCCGAAATGGAAGGACGAGACAAAACAGAAAAACGGACAAGTTCCCACCCAAGTCTAAAAAGCAAAACTATGCCACCATAACCAAAATACTTTTCAGCGCTGCGAGCGCTGTGACCGCATGGTCGACTGGCGACGGATAATGTCGCCATGGTTCCATGTCTGGCTTGCGCGGTCTTTCGGGTCGAGACTGGTAGAAGCCCCGTGCTCCGGTCGACCCTGGGATTGCTGGCGGTCCATAGACATCTGACTAAGACTAGAGGTGCGACGGCGCATGCGCCGTTCTGCGTCTGCGATCTCATTCTGATTCAAGGATTCCGAAGGGAGCAGAATGGCGCGGTCCAACGCATAGGGCAGGCCACGATGACGGCCTCGGATTTGCATCGCAATTATGACCAGCTTGGAGAGAACCTGAAATTGGCTGGAGAAGGATGCATTGACTCCGGGATACCCGAGCGAAAGACCAACGGTGCCATACGCTGAGACAACTTCGAACAGCACGGACCACACTTGGAAGGAATACTCATCTTGCTGCTGGAGCCGCTTGCCTTCCACAATAGTAATGATGAACAGGCCCAGGAACACATACCACAGATCAAAACTGAGCTGTTTGCGCAAATGCGCTCCGATATAGCTGGGCGCTGTCTGGTTCTCATCCGACTCATCATCCTCGGTAGAAGCGTAGATGCCTAGACTCTTCTCCTCGTAGACGTTGGTGCGCCGTAAGGAGATGGCAATGGGGAACACGGATATATACATCATGATCAAGTAGGACACCTGCACAGCCGGGTGTAGGTCTGATACAGAGATAACAGCCAATCCGGCGGTTCGAGTACAGGCGGCCTGGAACAGACCGTCCACGATACGGATACCAGTGGGCAGGGATGTGACGACCGAGTCATTCAAGTCCAGAATAATGAAAAAGATCAAGTCAATACCATTCAAGGCCACCAGAATCGCAAAGAGCCACCACGTGGCATTCCTCGGAAAGAGTAGAGTGAAGCATCGACGTGGATGATCAAGCAGAAAGCGGAGTTCCTCCCATAGCGGGGTTTCGGCACGAGTCACTTTGGACAGCGCCCAAATAATCAGGCGCAGCATGCAAGGGAACCCCGTATTCCCGATAATGATCAAAAAAGTCATGAGCAGGAGCGGGAATATCGCTTTCTGGAATGATGATAGTGAGTCTGGCGTGAGAGTGAAGCCGACGTCGTTGAAAGCCGATTGAGCCATGAAAATGGCCCACCAAGGGCGACCCTGTCCGATTTCCTCAACCACCTTGCCCCAGTGTGTGGTCATAATCCAAGGCACGAGGCACAGGATGCCAAGAATGTGGAAGAAGGCATAGTAGGAGATTAGTACTACTGCCAGAGTCTTCAATGCCCGATACTCGATCCCGCCGAGCTCGTCACGTTGTTCCTCAGTTAGGTCGACAAAGTTAGAATTCCGACCAACCGTGGCATTCCAGCTGAGATACGGCTGTGTCGACCGTTCACGTTCTTGCGTAAGAGTGCGGAAAAGGTTGTGTAAGGTTGGTCGTCGCGATGTCAAGCGACCCAGTTGCGAGGCATCGCTTTCATTCTTTGTTTCACGGAAAGTGGGACGTGTATCTAATCGGGGGAAAGTAGAGTTCCGCGTCCTCGTTCGAATCATATCTGGCTCGTTAATCGTGATATGGGGCCCATCAAGTCTGCGCGGCCTATCCTCGTCCTTATCCTCGTCCTCGTCGTCCTCATCCTTGCCATTCTCGTCTTCTTTGCTCATATCACATGGGCTGCGCTCGGAACTCGAGGAGTTGCTAGACGTGCGAACGGGTCGATTTGTCTCCTCCTCCTCTTCCTCCTCCAATACCTGGGGTGCGCCACCGTTGTCATACTCCCGAGGGCTAGGTATCCGCAGCGCGCCTTTGTTCCTCCGTTGATTCTCCAGGAATGCGATGTGATGTTCTGGGCTCAGCTGAGCCGGAACACGAAGGTTTCCTAGACTATTTCCCAGTCCAATTGCTAACTTTTGATTGAGGGCATTGTTCGCATCTTCGCCCAAATTTTCGGGTGGATCCCGCGCGGTGGGAGAGGCGGGAGGTGAGTCCTCGCCGGATTTCTCCTTGGCCTGCTGTCGGCTCCCCGGCTGACCTAGTGTGTCGCGCAGGACGACGATGGACCGACCAGCGACCCCAGCCTCTTCCCGGGAAGAAGACTGACCATCCTTATCTTCGCTTATGGTACGGAGGCGGGAGCGAGTATGGCGAAGGGCGCGCGCATCGCTAACGACATGCTGAAACCGCTTTTCGAACCAGTAGAGACGCACAAAGACCAGCACAGTGTGGATAAAGATGGGAGTGGTCAGCATGGAGACCACATACAAAACGATCTGCTGGTAGGTGTGCAAGGTATTAAGGTCGACGGTGTTGAGACCGCTCTGGGTGGCGGCGCCGGCCGATAGGAAGAGGGCATCGGTGTAATCTAGATTAGCCCCTGGATAGATGATGACTGAGGAAAGCAAAGCGGTGGCGATGATATAGACATAGTGGATGAGAACAAAATTCATGCGCAGATTCTTTAGCCATGGAATGTGGGAGGTGAAGCGTGAAGTGACCGAGGTCGCCCGCCGCAGCACGGCGGAAAACATCCTGCGGTTTCACCCGCACCGACTGGGACACTTTGGATTTGCAGGGAGGGAAACTGTATCGGTAGGAGAATAACGGATAGGAGGTTCGAAGAACGAAGGGGCTGCCGAATGAAGACGGCTGGTTGCCGATCAATATGTACTAGGCGGAAGGAAAAGAAGACGCAGACCAGGCCAAAGTCGCTGCAGGTCAGAGACCCACAATCGCAACAGCACTTTGAGCTGAGGAAACGAGGATCAACATGATTTGAGGAGAGTTATATTGGAAGGAAAGAAAGGATGCTGGAGGCCGGGCGCAGATAAGGGGACACAGAAAGGTCGTGGAGAAGAAAGAGAGGACGGGAAGCCCCGAGATGCAAGAAGACAAGACAGGTGAAACCAGCGGCGGAGGGGGGGAATGACGACTCGGTTGGATGAGATGGTCTGGGAGGGTGGTGATAAAGTGGCCAGCTTTGAAACCGAGATTGCTAGACCTCCACTATCTATGTCGGTGAGCACCCACTTGATTTATGGTGGTTGCTGGGGGAAGAAATAAAAAAAATCGATTGGAAGCTTGACAATTCGACAAAGGAGGCCGGATTGGCGCAGCAAAGAAAAGAGAAAAAGTATCAGCAGAAGAACCGGAGGGTAAAAAGGCGCTATGCCGATCGGTCGAGCGCGGAATTAAGAGACATGCTGTCCACGGACAATTTCATTGGAGCCTAATCAGCATCTCTGGACTCTATCTCGCAGGTTTTAACGTTGAGACTAGTCCCGAGTAGCACACGGCTTGTCTTGACTTTTTGTGACGGGGGAAAAAGGAAACGCGGGTTAGTTCTGGACCAGTGGTCACGTGAATGTCTGCCAATTCTCTGCGGCCGGCCATCGATCGATCGATCGATCAATCTACAATCTACTCTCTACTATCTACTACCTGTCTATTTGGATACAGCAAATGGAATTTAAATAAGTAATATCCCTCCGTGTAATCTACACAATTTTCTTTCTCAATGTATACAGGTCTTTATTCCCTAAAATCCACCGTACATTGACGGCAGGGGACGCAGATCCCATCATTTTCCGTGACATCTCCGGGCCCCTTTGGCAACTATCTATTTCTAGAAGGACGTCCGAAAACGGCGCGTGCCGCTGGCTAAGTTATGTTGCCTGGTTCCGCAACGCCAAAAAATTGACCCTACGCATCACGGAACCCAGGCCCAATACAGGTCACCCGCAAATATCCGCTACCGTTTCCGATCCAGTACATCTTCTACAATGTGAGCATTGATGATTCGATGAGGGATCCATCAAATGACATTGATAACATCGGAGATGTCGGGCTTGGCAAGAGGCCAGGTTCAAATGTTGCTCGGTCCGAGTGTTGCTGGCTGGCTTTTCTGCTGGTGTCTCGGTATGCTTGCTGATGTGATGGTAGGCTAAGAAATCGCAACTTGCGGATCCGTTCGCCTCTTGAGGCGGAGGAAGCGGTTTCAAAGTGAGTTCTTTCGTTGTTCACTTCCCCGGGGCAAGGCTTCTCTCCACAATCACCGCCGTTGTCGTTTAAGGCTTCCAATGCCCTTGTGTCCCGAAGACTGCTCCTTTCCAGACGATTGTATTGAACGAATACTACCAGTTTCATTATCAGAAATTGATTTCTCTGCTTCTGACTCGGAATTTGATTCTTCTGATCCGGAGATGGAAGTATCCGGGTCGGGCCTATCGCTGTCTTCCTGAGGATGAATTGGATAGTTCACTTTCTTCGGTGCAGTTTCAAGCGACCTCAAAGACGAACTGTCATCAGTCTTGGACGTTGATCGATCCATACTGGAGATTTTGTCGGTCTCGGTTCCTTCTTCCCCTGATTCGTCATCGGAATCAACATATTCGGAACTTTTGAAGTGCTTGTTTGATTGGCTCTGAGAAGGCGTGATTGATTTCGATTTACCTCGACGCTTGGGTGGTTTTGCCTCCACAACAGGGTCGTAGAAAGCATCCGGATTCCCCATGCTACGCCGAGTCAAGACCTTGCGCCTAATCTTGCGAAATTTGTCTCCACACTGCTGCCTGGAACGGCAGTTTTCCATGCGGTTGCTGATCTCTCCCCAAGAAATCTTAGATTCATCTATCTCATAGATATCCCGGCCAACCTCATGGCCCAGGTTCTTCATGTGGGTCCACCAGTCCTGTAGATACTGTAGTAGTGCACCTACTTCCCATTCAGACCAGGGCCCTCGGTTCATCGTCTGGCGATGTTCGAGGTGATTTCTCCATCGCTGTATCACGTCGTCATCGCTTCTACCAATCATTTTGGCGATGTGAGCCCACCTGGGCCCATGGCGCTCATGAAGCAATATAAGTTCGTCATCTTGCTCGGCAGTCCAATAATGTGGCTTCTGGGTTGTGCATTGGAAATGTCGTCTCATGAACCGATAAACCGATCTCTTATCGCGATGTGGGATAATTTCATAGATGTTTTTCCAGAAAGCCACTTTTGTGGTAATATCCGTAGGACAAGGGAAGGGATTTGACTTGTCCCTTTCTGAATGCTGAATCATGAGGTCAAAGGTGTCGCTTGCCATGCCGTGGGTGGTGCAAAAATCTAGCTTGAAGGATTCCAGAGCTTTAACTTCTTCTGGCGTGAAGAAACCAGTTGATTTATTTTCTTTCCCTTTGCTGGCATCCGAACCGCGTTTGCCCTTTTTGAAATCCACCAGGCCTTTGAAATTCTCGGAAGGTTGTTTTGATGTTGTGTTCAAATTTGCTTCCGATTCCTCCTGGGCAGATCCTTTCTCTTGGTCCTTGCTTCCTGGGTCTGGGGCGATCAAATCTTCTGTTCCTGGGGAAGGTGAAGTTGAAGGTACATCCTGCGTGAGTACGTCGGGCTTGTGCGTGGCCTTGTCTGCTTTGCCGTTTTGTATCTGGCTTCCTTTGGACTCGCGGACCTTCTTGCGCTTTGACGGACGATCAGTGGATGTATTATGCCGCGATGATAGAGACGTTTTCGGTGAAGCAGGCGATATATTACGGTCTCCAGTGGTGTTATCCAGAGCTCTCCTCTTCCGTCCAGATGTTGTATTGTTGGTTTGTAGCTTCTGCTTGGCGCCATTTAAAGGTGTTATAGGGGTCGAATGTATTTCCAATTCCGATCGATTCTCTTCTTCGGAATCCTCGGGGGCATTCTTACGCCCTGGGGAAGTATATTGCGAAGACGAGTCGCCCATTTCGAATGAAATTAAAGAAATCAGTCTCCCAGTGAAACCCGAAGACCTGACAAAGAGCTGTAGAGACAGCAGAAATTATCTGAAGGGAGTGAATGGGGAACAATCTGTCAGACAAAAGATTTTAGAAAAAAAAGTCGCCGAAAAAAGCTTGCGAGCGGCGCGAGCGGCGCGGCGCGGCGCGACTTTTGGCGGTGCCGTTCAAGCTTTCTTTAGCGGAGAGACATTCCATCCATTCCCTGGTAAAGGCGGTCAAGGTTGATAGTTATAAGCTCTTTTCAGATGTCGCATCCTCTGCCTTGCTTCTGTGCAGCCGACACTTTTTCCTGGGGGAAGGAAGCCACCAAGGAGTCTTTCGCGAAGAGAAAGGAGTGGTCACTAGTTGAGAATCCCTACTTGCTGCCACCCCGTCGAACCTCGGTCTGACTAAATTCCTTTTTTGCTTTTTTCTTGATGGGGTTTCCCTGTCAATGGCGGTCAGAAAGGCGGGTGCTAAAGATGGGCAGAAAGATGCCGGGATGATGTACCCGCAAGGCTGTTTATCCTAGATAACTAGATTGTGTGTATATACTAGGACACCCGATCGATTTCGACATATGCAGTGACACCATCCAACAAACAGCCCAGACGGTGGTAATAGCTATAAACAGAGGAGTTGTCACATTTTCTAAAACCTACCAGGTTATCTTGCAAGCCCTCAACACGGTGCAGTTCACCCATCAATCCTGAAGTCTGCTTCTTTCCTTCACAGGCCACCTGGGTAGTAGCAGCGACGTGCAAGATTGGGCCTTCATATCCCGTGACAAGTCAAGATCAAGTTGAAGAGGATCAAGCTCAATGCATGAGTTTTTGATTGCTGGTTAGGAGATCACTAGTCAGAAACCACCGGTCCCGAGCTCCAGATCGGATTTCCCAAGTCCTGTGTGATAGTGTGATACTGTAGTGTTTAATGAATGCGACTGTGTCACCAGTCCATATACCTTCCATCCAGTCACTCATTCGCTTCCCAACTACTCACGACTTTCAAAGGGTTGTGAGGTGATGTCTAGTGTACTTCCTTCTTAAAATAATTTTCGGGTCCTTTCACACTCTTAAAGTATATCCCATGATTGAATGAGAACCGACGTATTGGGATGATTTCATCCAAGTGATACAAGCTCGACATGGACTATGATTTCACCCTTTTGTCATTGATATTAATAGCATGAATCAAGTCAATGAGGCGATGTAGTTTGGCTTTTTTTTTTTTTTGTTTTTGTTTTTCTAAATTCATTTGATTGTACCCTTGCCAAGGCTTAGGATCTCCCAACCCTCATTCGCTTCACGCCATCTCCTACCTTTCTCCCAAAAGACTCTCTACTCACAAGAGATTGAGGAACAGTACAAGGAAGGACTCAGCTCTTATCTACTAGAATCTTTCTGGATTCCAAGAAAAGGCTCTTTCGCCTTCAGTGCCCTACAACCGAAGAAACAGCAAGGACTTGAAATGCATTGGATTCATCATACCTGTGAGTCACTATCAATGTTCATTTGATTTATATAGCTCGTATAGAAGTTGTCAAAACAAAATTCTGCCAAGTAGACTGAGTTGATATATTGACGGCTCCCAGGCAGCAGGGGTGACAAAATGTCTCAACAGCAGTACATCTCCTATTTGGGATAGACAGAAGAACATATGGTCAGTCCTATCATTTCTTAGTCGATTACTTATAGGTCATACTTACCTGCTACTATAGCTACATTTTTACCGGGAAGCACAAGTTTGAAAGGCCTCTCCATGGGACGACGTCATGTATGGTAAGAGGGACGTCCTACTTATGTTTGGATTGATTTCAAAGTATATTTCCTGGGAATATTGATCCTTTCTTGTACTTTCCTTCTCGAGTCAATGCTGAATATGCTTCCTTGTCACTACGAGCTTAGGTATATAGTTTTACCATGATATTTCGTTACTCTTCAACATCCTATTAGCTGAAGTAAAAATGGTCTAGAAAGCGCACTTGAATGCTAAAATAAACAGCGGAAAACTAAGGTACACCTGTCTGGTAAGTTCAATGATGTCGGAGTTTAGGTCATGCTTCTGGTTTTTGATCAGTGGAGGCCCCGACTTTGGGTGACTTGCCTTATGTTAATCCTGAAAATCATGATCGTACATTTAGTAGTGGTCTAGTAGTGGTAGTAGGACTATCCTGGATGAGCTTCCAGACAAAGTGACCTAAGCAAGAGGTTTCAAGAATATGTATGTAACTAAAATTAGTATGCATCCTATGGATGAGCATGTATGATCTAATGAACTAGAGACTTTTGTGTTCAGCTTCGTGAAACATATCTCATAGTATGTAATATTACTATATGCTTTCTATACTATATCACATACCGTTTGGACCTCGGTATCGGTGACTTTACTGAATCAGTGAGGGACTCTACCTGTCTACCTACGATACACTAGGCTTCTAGTTTCCCTCCCGGAAATATATGTTGGAAGAGGGAGTTATAATATCTCTGTGAAATCAAGGAGTCTGAAGTACAGGTTAGGATGGTATACCTCAAACATGAACAACACACTCTCAGGGCACGTACAACAGTCCAGATTGTCGCAAGGTCAGAGCCTCATTTCCTATTGAAATCTTGCTCAGAGAGGGGTAAACAGGATTAACCTGAGAGTTGCATTATTTAAAGGTGCAGCAAGCTGCGGATTGTGGGGCGCAACTGGGCCAGAAGATAATACAGCTACCAGCTGGCATATGCTGCCAAGAGGACCGTTCGCAGCAAGTTTCAGAGAAGGTGGGTCAATCAAGAAGGGGCTAGCCGTACGGCTGTGGGGACATATCCTTTGCGATTAACTCTCGCGCTACTTGGGTGCTTCCGCTTCGTGCGGCTACGCAGGTATAAGCTATATAAGCATTTTCACATGGAGATCCGACGGAAGGCTAGATCGAAGGCGGGTTCTATCTAGGCCAGAATTATCTTGAGCTATAGGCTATTGAGGTAGGCACTGCCTAGAGGCCCAAGTACGCCCCGTCTGGGTTACCCGGGAAGACCAAGCCTACCAGGGAACTTGCACTTAAGGTAGGACGTAACTAGGAGCAGAGATAGACAATAGTGATTTACAGGTAACTGGTGAGCCACCTGTGACGCTTGTCCGATGACAACTTTTATTTCTTCGCGTTCAACAGAGGTATATACGGTTTGTAGATACGCGACATTGCATGACATAGTGTGTCGTACATTTTGCGCCATATCACCGGGCACAGCACTCTGGACCATTTCATTGCTTCAGATAGTGAAGTACTTGCACAGCTAGCATCTTGTATACCGAGCTCGATCAGGCCAAGATAGAAGTTATATTGCATTGAAGATCGATGCCAGCGGCCGCACTAACATTTAGTACGTCGCACTTTGTGCGAGGCGACGCAAGGTCGACTATGGGGAAGAGAGCCTCGTTCTTCAGGGTGGCATAAGCCTACCACCGTCGTGCGGGCATAGGAGGGCACCGTGTGAGATTTCTCAGGTCGGTGTGGCTTGCCATCACGGCAGCTCGCTGCTAGGCTAAGAGGAAGCTGGAGCCCGCAATTCAGCTCGTTTTTTCGAGCAACTTAGGAAGGCATGGATTGTGAGTTCCATCGTTTTGCTCTCAACAAGCAAAGTTAGGCATTGAATCGATCGAACAATATCAAGATTTTTGGTAATTGTCGCATGCCGTTTTGTATATGTGGGACGAGAATATGAGTCAAGTATCGCGGATTCGCCTTACTGAGGCGCGCTATGGGAGCGACATTGGTGGTGTACGTGTTGACTAGGATATCGCTTGCTGGATGCTGAGTTGACTCAATCACTTGCCTCTCATTGGCCTTGAACAGCCATAGGTGAGGGAGCTACCAGCGCCCGCATATCGGTTTGTCACCAGCGGAGGCAGTGACATTGAGAGTGGAATCCTGACAACCCAAGTCATCACTTTAGATCAGCCCATCAACCCGCCCAAAACCACGCGACCAACGCTATTGAGTTCACTCTTGGCCTGGTGACGGCTGGCATCCTCAAATTCGCGTATGATCCCCGCCACCATAATCTTCCTTATCTTGGCATCCGCCTTGGAAAACATTTCCCCCAATGCGACAGTACATACTGAAGGTGTGAAGACTAGCGAGACCAATCGGGTGTAACAATCAATGAGGATATCACACAGGGTAACAAAGGTTTCGAAATAGTCCGGTTCAAATGGCAATAATGGCGTCAGAAGATATGTGTATTCTTCACCGGGGAGGAGCTCCGAGGCCTCCGTATGCGGAAACGAGACGGTCGCTGCCGCCGCGCTGGCTGAGTTACTCGCCATTGACTTCAAATCTGACGGGTCACTGGATTGTATCGGTAGGCCGATTTCTGTGGCCGAGCTGGTACGGCGCGCTTTCGTGCCGGCGTGAGCGGCGCGCTTGAACATCTGAGGGATACGGGCGCGAGTGAGGGTGGAGGAGGAGGTGCCGTCGGGAGGATGCACTTGCTGAAAAGCCTCGAATTCAATTAAAAGGGTGTTGAGTGCGCGAAGGAATTCCACGGGTGTTGTGCTGACATCCAGAATCGGAGGCAGGGAGAGGCCCAAAAGAAGGTAATTGATGGCGCGACGGGCGAGTTTACGAGGCTCAAAGTATGGCAGTCGACTGATATCGGTTCGGGAAAAGTGAACAGTATTGAACCAGTAGATGCGACCTTCGTGCGCTTTCCGCAGATAACCCAGTGTAGAGATCCGCTTAGCGGCCATATCGTGGATGTGCTGATAGATTGCTGCTGCGCTTTGAGGCCCAAGTGATCCGCTACCACTCGTTAACGGGGGTGGCATGGACCCCACCGATGGGTCATGACTGATGCTGGATTTGGTGTCCCGGCGCGAAAGACTGGGGGCAAAAGTCGAGGAAATCATATTGGACATTGCTATGTAGTCGGACAAGGTTGCCTACCCCGGCATAAACGTGGATTCCGTACTCCGTAGGCAATGAGGATACAGGATTAAAAGGGGCTGGCTCGAGAAAGCGTACTAGTAGGAAGATCCGCGGGATCGGGAAAGAGATAGAATCTCCGTGCCACGTGACCGTGGTCACTGCGAGCAGAGACGGAGCCATCGAGTGTGTAGAGTCTAGGCAAAGTATGGTGGGTTACCGAATAAGGATATCATAAGCAGTCGTTTCAGTCGCATGGATTGCTGGTACTACTAGCAGTCGGCGTGCGACTGTAGTAGACGAGTTGATTGGAAATTAGCCCCATCCAAAACATGCTACAGATTAGTAGGTTTGACTGGCAAGCTGGATCATATATTAAAATTGAGACCTTCACAATATCCACTAAGCATGTTAGCTCAGGGGAAGAGCGCCGGGCTCATAACCCGGAGGTCCCTGGATCGAAACCAGGACATGCTATCTATTTCTTTTTTCTCCTTGCTATCCTATCTGATCGCTTTCTTTTTGTTCATTCAAACTATGGCCATAACGCAGGGTTGCTGGCATAGGCTGTTCACGCTACTTAATAGCTGGGTATCCATTCTTCCTACAGAGTACAACCGAGAGCATCCTGAGTGGCCGTGTTGCTGTCGAGGAGATTCCCCCGGTGTGTCCCAAGAACAACTGATGCTTTTCAGGGGAGATAGATATGATTTTCATATTTGCCATGATGACGGATATAGATGAATCGAGTGTATACATACCCGTACCATAATACTATTTACATACCAGTATGCTAAAGTAGATTACTCGAAGGAAGTAATATACACATTTATGCAGCAGGTGCCATTCGTATCTCGAAAAGGGCTAGCGTAGGGGTCTAAGTGGCTATACCCGAATGGGTTAGTCGCTGACTATCACCCCGGTTGGCCACTGACATGTGACCGACCGCCTTCCCAAAGGGATTGGCTCCGAGCTGAATGAATGAATAGGAAGGATATCTTCCGGTACTTGACCACCTTCTTTCCCCTCCTTACGAATTAATGGCCCCTTGAGATGACCTAGTATCAGGTCTTCTCTGTGGCGAGCCCCAATACTTTCTTGCGGCTTTGTGTTTCAATATGCTTCTGCGCTCGGCCACTTCTTACTTGACTAGAACTGGCCAGGGGTATCAACTATTCCTAGCATGACACGCCGACTTGTATGTCCCTTTTCGTCTGATCATGGAGCGGTCCTATCAGAAGATCTTAGAACTAATAGGATATCGCTATAGGTTCGAGCGGGCGTGCAGCTCGCAATTTTCGCATCTTTCATCGCTCTTCTCGTCGTGACCTTGGACAACAGGTTCCGTGTCCTTCCTGCCTCCATCCACGGCCATCTTCCATCCCACTATGCTGGCTTCGCCATCACCGACATCACCGTTGTGACTTGTTCCTCCATCAACGTTTTTTCGAACTGTCAACCGAGCCAGGAGTCCTGGTCCCAGGTTGAGAAAGACCTCTACCTCCGCACCGGTTGGACCTCAAGCGCATTTATTCGGTTTGAGCGAAAGAAAGAGGAAGAACTGCTTCCTACAGACAAGGTTGTTATTGACCTTAAGATTAGCCGACTTGTTCCCGAGTATTCGGAGGATCCTGAGGCCCAGGGAGAGACATGGGAGCAAAGACCCGGTGGTATCTGGCTCAAGCGAACCGCTAAGCGCCACGCGAGTGACTCTGGAAAAGCAATCACCGCTATCGATGTCCTCTTCGGTGCCGATGCAGTCGATCCGCGAATTGGCTGGGAAGTCAGGGATACTCCATTGCTACTGGATAGCCGTACGGAGGAACTGGAAACTCGAATCAGCGTCCGTCGGGGAGATCCTCCCAAAACGAAGAAACCAGTGCCCAGGATAAACGAGAATGGGCGCTTCAAGATCATGCAGCTGGCTGACTTGCATCTGAGCACCGGCCTAGGGGCTTGCCGTGAACCCGTCCCGGCTGAACCCGTCCCAGGGCAGAAGTGTGAAGCCGATCCTCGGACGTTAGAGTTCGTGGAAAGGCTTCTAGACGAAGAGCAGCCTGATTTTGTTGTATTGAGTGGCGACCAGGTTAATGGTGAGACATCGAAGGATGCTCAGAGTGCTCTTTTCAAGTCCGTTAAACTCCTTGTTGATCGCAAGATACCCTATGCGGCCATTTTCGGCAACCATGATGACGAGGGTAACCTGAAGCGACCGGAGCTTATGACTATCTTGGAGGATTTGCCGTACTCTTTATCTACTGCCGGCCCCGAGGAAATCGACGGAGTCGGAAACTATTATGTCGAGATTCTTGGCCGCGGAAGCACCACCCACTCCGCGCTAACCCTTTACCTTTTGGACTCACACTCGTACTCTCCTGATGAGCGGAATTATCGCGGGTATGACTGGATCAAGCCGAGTCAGATTCGGTGGTTCAAGAACACGGCCCAAGGGCTGAAGACCAAGCACCATGAATACACCCACATGCACATGAACATGGCTTTCATTCACATTCCATTGCCGGAGTATCGTGATCCCAATAACTACTACCGGGGTAACTGGACAGAAGCTCCAACAGCGCCGGGCTTTAACTCGGGGTTCAAGGATGCCCTCGAGGAAGAGGGTATCCTGTTTGTGAGCTGCGGACAGTAAGCGATGTCTTTCCCACCCATCCATGACTCTTTGCTAACCGCTTCAGTGACCATGTCAATGACTACTGCATGCTCAATCGAGATAACGAGGAAAAGCCGTCCCTGTGGATGTGCTATGGAGGAGGTGCTGGTTTCGGCGGGTACGGAGGATACGGGGGTTATGTGCGCCGCGTGCGGTTCTATGATTTTGACATGAACCCTGGCCGTGTGGTGACATACAAGCGGCTGGAGTATGGCGAGACGGAAGCCAAAATTGATGAGATGATGATTATCGACGGTGGCATTGTCAAAGGGCCCGAACAAGAAAAGTGAATTGGAGATTGATGCCTTTCCAAGGCGCTGATTGGTATTATTTCTCCTTTCTTTTTGAGCTGGGTCTCGCGAGACACATCTGGCGCTGCTTTCCGGACGATATCATTTATTCGAGGCTCTTTACATCTATTACTGGGGAGGCGTTCCTATTTGAGACTTAACCGGCGGGCATTCATTTCCTTCTTTGTATCATATTGGTATTCGATTCAAGCATCTTCAGGATGCGTGGGCCGCGATAGCAGGCAATTTCTCGAGAAAATTGATTATTTTTATCTTTTTATCTTGCTTTCCTACTCTATCACCACCACTTTTCATAATACACGCGCTCCGTGTCCCCGAGAAAGTCCTCAAGGCTGCTCACCACATCATCCGTCATCCCAGGCGGACCACACACATAACACACAGTCTCTTCCGCCTCAATACTACCATCGGTTTTACTGATTGCCTTGCGTAAATCATCCCGATTGATCCTCCGCGTGTGCAGGTTCAGATCCCCAGATTCCGCAAATTCAGTAAGAGAACTTCGATCCAAACCAGGATCGGTGATGAAAAGATCTAAACTGATCTGCAATCGACGAATCTGTGACTGCGACGCAATGATCTGTCGTAGACGTGAAAGAAACAAGATCTGCTGCAGACTACTAGTACCATTCCCGGTTACTGTTCCTTCTTCTTTCCGTGGGAGTTTCGTTGAGTACAGAAATCGAATATTGAATGATGGGTGAGGAAGAGCGATCTCATCGCCATTGTTTAGATGCGAGAGCATGGATATCAGTGGGCTAGGGTTGTTTTAGTATTTAGTTATGAATCATCTTTCCTGTTGGTGAGACGACAGAAAACACTCACTTGATCCCTACTCCACCTGCCACGAAGACTACATTTCGAACTTTCGTCAAGTCCACGCGGGAAGATGGTGGCCATACAAAACTCCCTCCGACGCGGATACTAAGTTCCGTGCCTAGGATCTGATCCGCCGGTCGCCAGAGCCATACGCTGGCTGGGTTGGAGGGCGCATATTGCACGGCTAACTCTACGTAGGGTGGCCGACCGCGCGGGTCGATGGGTGGAACGTCGGTTTCATCAGTGGTGATTGCCTCGGCGGGGAATTCTAGGGATGGGAGGACTTGTGCGTCGGCTGGAGTGGAGGTAATACTGAAGCCGCCTGCGTTTGGGATGGAGGGAATATGGACGTCCAGCCATTGACCCGGGAGGAATGTTAGGGGTTGTTGGGGGTTGGCTAACTGTTGGGTGTCAGTATGATAGTAGGTATATACGGTCGGTCGGAAAGCGGATATGTCGCTGAGAGTACTTATAGAGATTATAGGTGTGCGGTTGGCAATGTCATTTAGAGACATAGATCATTATGGAAAAGAAAATCATACCTCATCCACTTCCTGGCCTTCATCTTCGATATTTTGGACCTCCGGAGGGATAGTCAGCTGTAGCAGTCGCACGGAAGGATTGGCCTGTTCGATATGCGACAGCCGGACATTGTACAGTCGGTTCTGGCGGGGTTCGGCAGCGGTGCGCAATTGATGGGGCAGTGAGCCCTTCCGGTTTGTCGGGGAGCTCATGTGGTGTGCTTGGTGATAACAGCACAATTGGTTGGTAGCCGATAGCTGGCGCTTAGAGAAGAGAGCTGATGGGTGATGGAGAGATTGGACTGGGAGCAGTTGATGGCACTGCAGTACTAGTCGGAGTCTCCGCATCCGGAGATCCAATGAATGTTGCGAAGGACTGTTGCTTCTTGGAGATGGTAGCAGCAGTAGTTAGAGGATTCACAGGGCCAGCTGGCGGGATAAACATTTAGTGCCTTTACATGGATTAGAGTAAGTGATTTTTTGCCCCGAAATTGACTGTGTTGTAGTTATCAAGAGCGCATTGCTGGTTTGGTAGAAGTACGAAGTAGTTGAGTCGAGGCTAAATGGATGACGTTGGGGCATGTCATGTGCCTTCTTGGTTTGTTTGCAGCGAAGTGTAGTACTACTACTTTGTATGTACTCATTCCCATCTTTGCGCTTCAACATCACAT